ACACACACACACACACACACACACACACACACACACACACACAATACAAAAAATACTGTAAAATACTGTAAAATTAAAAATACAGAAGACTAGTGTGGATTAAAATTTTTGCTCGGATCTACCTAATTCTATCCGGTTGGTTTTGTAATCTCAAAAATAGTTCCAAGCATAGATTATCGATCTCACTGCTTCTCATGGCAATGTTTATTTTTAAATCAACATTCAGTCATCTATTGAAAACCTATATTTTGTGAAATAAACTATTTTTGGTTATCTTTACTGAAACTTAAAACATGCATAATTCACTCAAAACTGATCAAAGCTACTTTAGACCAGAATCCTGCGGATTTAACCCGATCCCGATTCCGAACCCAAATCCGGGTTCAACAAGCGTTTTTTTGGGTTCAGTTTCGGGACGGGTTTCAGTGCGTCTGAACGGAATCGGGTTTGTCTCCGATCCCGATTCTTCTAGTTTGATATAGGGGGAGATACGAGACGAGGTTCGGGACGGGTTTCGAACTTACGAGATCGGATCGGGTTCGAAAATCTAAAACCCGCAGGACTCTACTTTAGACCAACAAAATACATTCTATTTTATTCACTCAACATGAATATATTATACTTAGAGCCATCTTAACTCTAATCTTTCAGTTGCAAGTGTAATTCGACATTTGCATGACAACAGCTGACAGTCGATGCTGGATTTTGATGCACGAATAAACCGTTTGTCTTTCTTGATGTAGGAGTTATTTGCACTTTAGTGGAACATCGAATATCTCAAGAATAATGAAGCTAAACTAGTTGAAACTTGTTTCAGTAATCAGCTGTTAGAGCAGCGACACAAAATTTCAAATCAATAGCTCGGCCTGTCCACGTAACGGTCGCCTTTTTGTGATTCCGTCACGATTTTTGTTGTTTTACGAGTCTCGTGGCACTCGAACAAAAGGAAACTTAAGGACCGTTTACATCTAGTCTTGTAGAGAAAAGTGAGCTGAACAAAATGTGATATTTTCTGTTTCCGTAGAGTGTCGTGGTTCTCAAATATAACAAAAGCTTTACGAGCCCCATTTTGGCGGACTTTTGATTGGGCCTCGTAAAAATTTTGTTGTAAAATTTTGTTTTTCTACAAGACTAGATGTAAACAATTCCTTAGTTTCCTTTTGTTCGAACGCCAAGAGACTCGCAAAACAACAAAAATCGTGACGGAATCACGCGTTATGTGGACAGGCCGAGCTGTCATCATCATTTAGATAAAAGATGATGAAAAACGGATGATAACTACTGTAAGTACCTACTTTAGATGTGTGACATCATTACATAATATCCAAATGATATCTTGATCTTGACTATTAGGTGATTTAGGCATAGCGATAACATTGCCTTCGTCTGTCGGTTTGGGAAATTGTGGACGATTTTGTAAACATCTTGTATACGGTCCAACAGTTAAAAACTGAGCAACATCTTTAATACGAACACTTCCTTCTGGTTTTCGATCCGATTCTCTTTCAAACCATTGTAATGTACTATTATCAAATAAGACAAAATAATAATCTTTCCATTTCTTGCTTATTAAACCTTCTAAACAAAATAAACGAAACAAAGAGGAAATTATTAAAAATATAAAGAATAAAAATGTGGTATACTATTGAAATTTCTAGAGTATTTTTTCTTTCAACATATAGATTTTTATTTTCAAAAAAAAAAAAACGTTTTTAAAGAATAATCGATCAAATATTCTCAGTAAGTATAATTTAGACGAGGTTCAGTTTGCACTGTTGAATATTATAGGTAATCATGGCATAAATCAATACTTACTATGAAAGTATCTCAAATGTCCTGTTTTAATATGTTGTGACATCACTGTTATAATACCACTACCATTAAAGAACTGAATGAACACAAAATAAGTGTTGAGTTATATATAATTACGAGTATCTAAAAAACAAAAAAAAGAAAATAAAAAAAAAGAAAAGCTTCAAAATTTCTTTTTTTCCTTCTTTCTTATGATGTAGGAAAAGAAATCGAATACAATGCAAAACTACAATGGTAACTTGTGATCATGCTATAAAAAATGTGTGTGTGTGTGTGTGTGTATACGTATAGATGTGTAGAAAAAAAATTCTTGTTTTTTCGATCTGTTCTCTCTTGCTAAGATTTTTCTTGACTAGATGTCGTCATCAGAACAGAGCAGAAGAAAAAAAAAAAAAATTTTTTTTCAAGTTAAAAAGCATGATTTATTACCTTTTATTTTTTATCAAAATTCATATACAATTATATAGAGTTGAATTTTTTTTTTTTCTTTTCTAAATAAACATCTTGACAACAGAACAGCGGTTTCTGTAATACGTTTTGAATAAACAAAAATATCGTCTATTCAAGAAATATGGAACCATTTGATGAATATTCTCACGACCCTAAAGACAGAGATAAAATTTTTTACTCTAATATTTAAACATATAAATATTTATGTTATACTATCCGACAATTTTCAACATTATCCAATGTGAATACGGTTCACTTTTTTTGTAACAAAAACGATGTCAATGAACTTCATTGTCTAAAAGTTCGATAGTATCTTCGTTTTCTCAAATAATTAACTAATGTTTTATTTCTTGTTAAAATTAATCGTATGGTAGTTGTCATAGACTACACCATGTTGTACAGAATAAGTTGAAGAAGCAATATAAAACAGTTTAAAAAATACGAATTTGAAAAATAGCAAGAAATTTTAAGTGCTTTTATGTTACAGTATATTTTAAATCATAATTGATTTACAAATATTTACATGAAGATGTGAGTTAACTAAGATCTACAATCCTTCTCAATTCTTAAAAAGAAGTTAGTTAATGACTTTTATAGGCATCATTCGAAAATAAAACAGTATACGGAAGTGTTCTCAATCAATTTTTGAATTTAAAAATTTGTCATTGATATATAAGGAGTCAAAGAATTGATGATACATCTTCATTTTCGATTTTTTTTCCTCGATGTCAATAACTAGATCAAATCTGAATAGTTGACAGCGTTTGTCAATCTGGCGTGGTTCGCATAAAAATTCCATCAAAATGACTCAAGAAAACCAGATCTTTCGAAAATCAAGTCCCAAATTCGATTAGGAAACTTTTGGTAAACAACTTTATTGTATATAGAACAAACGTTTTTGAGTAAAATACAATTTCTTTGAACTCTTCAAGACATTTTTTTGGTGAAACTGCATTTAATTGACAATAGGTCTCACTAATCAAAAGAAAATCTCGCGTTTGAGACTTTTTGTATACGATGAAGTTGTTTACCCAAAGTTTTTTAATAGAATTTGAGACTTGATTTTCGAGAGATCTGATTTTCTTGAGGTTCAGATTCTAAGTCATTCTAATGGAATTTTTAGACGAATCATACCAGACTGACAATGCTGTCAGCTATTCAAATCGTTATTTTTCAGATTTTATCTAATGGATGGT